ATAGAAATTTATCTATCACATACATATAATCCGGACATAAGCCAGACCAGGGCTAGTAAGAGACTTCCGATACCAACCTCAACAGAAACTTAGGTCTCAGGGTCAAAGGTGACCGCCCCAGTTCTCATTATCTCCCTCTGACCGAAATGGAGAAAGGGTAAGAAGTACTCATTCACACGAACTTCTAGGGGCACCATCCCAAAGTGGAACATGTAAATGCTGCTCACATGCCTTCCACCAGAGCGTAAACCGATGCCTGTATCAAATAGGAAGGTTGGTTCAGAAGCATTGTCTCTAGCTAAATATTGGTTTACTGGCAATCTCTGCCTCAAATGGCTACTGTAAAGATTTTCGGTAGTCTGTTAATCTATTCACCTAGTACTACAGGATTGTGAAATATTGTAACAAAGTGCCTAGCAAGTTGCCTGACACAGGTAAGTACTAAGAAGATGAGCTCACCCTTCTCATTTCCCCTAGCACCTTACTTCTCAAAATGTGCTCCAAGGTCCAACAGCATCAGCACCTCCTGAAAGGTTGTTTTCACATGTAGACTCTCAGTCCCAAGCCAGACCCACTGAATCAGAACCTGCCTTTGCCAATTTGAAGCTTCGTGCCAGCTTGTTTTTGTCACTGATGGCATCTGCTGGCCATGTTAGCTGGAGCATTTACAGTGTTGTTGTGAGAATTAAATGAGATGATATGTATAAAAGACATTAAAATCTGTACTGCTTCATAGCATTATTTAAGTGTACATGGATGAAGGGGAATACAGTGAATCCTAAGTTATTCGAATGAGAAGATTAAAGAATCCTTGGGTTTTTAGACTTTTCAACCTTGATAACATTCCTTGATATCGTAATGCCATGTGAAAAAGACGTGTCTATTTCCAGGAAATGTGCTTAATATCCATGCACTGTCCTAGGTACAGAGCTTTATGCTATTATATAGGAAGTTGCTAGGCTCACTCTTTTAAACTTAGGGGTTTTAGTGTATTTTTTCATCACCATTGTTGTTGTTTTTTTTTGACATCTAATATTGCAGCTTTTTGAGTTCTTAATTATGTTGCTCTCCTTTAATTTGTGTGATGAATATAAAGGTTTTGATATGAATATGGAAATCTAAAAAAGATACATAGACATTTTGATTTTAAAATTATAGCTTCATGGTGTCAATTCAAATGAAAGAAGTTAGATCGAGTGCATTAAATTCTAAGCAGCCAGTCCAGATTCCTGTACCAGTGTTGAACTATTAAAAATTATGAGAATCACCTTCTCATGGGCTTGTTTTTTCATCTGTATATTGGAAAAGATATTTTTTCTACCCGTCTCAAAGAGTATTTTTGGGGGGGGGGGGGGCGTAACCTGAGGTCCTAGAAAAATGTAGTGTGCAGGTAGAAGGTGATATTAATATCTAGTGCTGAGAGGTATATGTGAACATGCATTGTGTGTGAAGGAACTTTTAAAAATGTTTGGGCAACAAGCTTTGTGGGTTGAGCAAGGGCCTGGAAGCTCCATCAAATTCACAACGTCTTTTGCTCCTGCTTCAGCAGGTAGGCAGGGCCCCAGCGAGAGACAAAGACTCACCCACAGTTTCTGCAGGTCAGTCAGGTATTGACACGTAATAGAAGCAAGTCTAGGTGATGCACATCTAATGCACACAGGGAAAAGCCTGGATGTTCGAAGACAGCCAGTGAGCCAGGAAGCTTACAGAGGAAGGGAAGCACTAAACGATGGGTTTCCCTGGATCCGTGGGAACGACACCTTTCCTCTCCTGACTGTGACTGCAAGGGGCGGCCGCCATGGAAGGGCTACCTACTGCATCTAGAGATCGCACACCCATGTCCCATGACAGCACCCCTATCAGTCCTTGGGACTGATGAAGTCAGAAAAATACTACCAGGTGTGTTACAGGCCTTGCATTTACTTTTGTATTCCTTTTCATTAGCATTCGGTCCATGAATGCTGAACTGTCAACTTGGGTGCAGATGCTGGGAGGATACACATATGCATGACATACCTGTCCCTCTGGGACTTTCAACTAATAGTGGAGCTAATAACCACCTTTATCAGAGAGAAAGGTAATGACTAACATTTGTGCTACACTTTAAAATAGATGTCGGTGTGCTGCGCCCACACTGAGAAATTATGCACGTGTGCGTGTATGTGTTAATGCACCCTCGAGCTGACCGTGTGAATGCGTGATGTCCACAATGTCCCGTCCTCAACAGCCCTGCTCAGCTCCTGTAGACCCTGCCTCTGGCTCCTTTAATGGAGTCAATCCATCTCATCTTCGGCCCCCCTCTTTTCCTGCAGTCTTTTATTTCTTCTAGCATGATTGTCTTTCCGAAGGCCTCTGTCTCCTCACGATGGGCCCGAAGCAGCCAGCTTCAGTTCTGTCCTTCTTGTCTCTAGTGATGTCTCGGGCTTCACTTGCAGGACCCACTTGTTCACTGCAGGGCTCTTCGCGGCACCGTATTTCAAATGAACCAGTTTTGTCCCATCAGCCTTCTCCACTGTCCAACTCTCACATCCGAGCATAGTGATTGGGAATACGAGGGTGTGGATGATCTTAGCGTTGGGCTCCAGTGACACATCTTTGCTCTCGGCGATCTTCCCTAATTCTTGCGTGTTTAAAAATAAATCTACCTATATCTATATCTATATTACATAGGAAAAAAAGTCCAAAAAGGGGCTGGACATTAAAATGTTAATAGTGATGAGACTTCAAATTCTTTTTTATGTTTATACTTTTTTTCTGTCTTCCTCAATAGACATGTATTGTTTATGTAACTATAAATCAGTAACATATTAAACTTGGAAAGCATCCCGAGTACTTTTGGACATGCTGTCTCATTTGATCCTCACAATCACCCTGTGAGATAGGTCAGTACTGAACATCAATATTACGGATAAGAGAAATAGAGGAGACAGACGACAGACAGCTCAGGCAGCCAGGGTGTTGAGATGACCTGATGTGTACAGAATTGAACAGGCCAAAACAGCACAACCAGGAAAGAAGAGGGAGAAGCAGTAGTATGCACATGGAAGGGGAATGCGAAGATCCCTGAGCGGTTGCAGTTTTAGGGCATGGAATGGCTTTTTATTTCAATCTGGCTACCCAAACAGAGGTCTGGTCCAGTTTCTACCAGAATGAGAGGCAGGGTGACAGTGGTTACTTTTGGGTTTGAGGCCAGACAGTCTGAGTTGGATTTCCAGCTCTGGCACTGCCTGTTTAACCTGCGCAGTTATGTATGGACTCCAGGCCTCAACTTACCTATCTGTAGAATGAGGCAAATACTGTTACTACTGTAAGGATAAAGTGTGTTCATATGTAAGATCCTTTAAAAGTCTGTGGGGCAGTCTAAAGATGAACTTTTTAACTGGTTAAATAAGTAACAGACTGTGGAAAAAAATCCCTCTAAAAAGTGTATGGACATGGGAGGGCTCAGATTTTATTAGGTAATATCATCATCACCATACTTGTTGACATAAGAATGTCCGCACATGTAGAGAATTTTTATGAGTTTATTTGAGCCGAACTGATGATGTGCCAGGAAGCAAGATTGCAAATGCTCTGGAGAAGGATGGCTCTGCAGTTCTCAGATTTGGAATTCAGGAGGGCATGGAAAAGATCACCTGAGGTGGGAGAGAGCGAGGCAGGGAAGTGGGCATGATCAGATTACAGGATAGTTAACAAGAGTATGTGCTCCCCTGGGGGTGGCTCCACCCCTGAGGGGTGTGGAAAAGAGGATTACTCTGGCATTTCAAAGGTGCCTTAACCTAGATGCCCAAGAACAATGGACAGGGCTTGCTTAAGGCAAAGGCAAACCTTTTATAGGCCTGGGGTGTGACTACCCATCCTGTCCTGCCAGTTAGGAATTTATGATCAGAGGTTAATTTCAGTCACTGAAATTGTCAGATTTATTACATAGCCCCTTTCTCTTTCACATCTTCATCCTCACTGGTCCAGGGTGAAAGGATTTGTACGTCACTTTCAGAGAGACAACTGCCTTATCACTGCAGTTCTTATAGTGACTGGGACAAGTAAGGAGGTGGTTAGGTCAGTACAAATACATCTGACACTAATCTTCCAGTGACATTATTATCTTTTTGACATGCATAAACACATGTGGGTTGGATTGGTGATTTTGTTCCTTAATAAGAAACATACAGATGTATTTCAAATGTATATAGATATATGCCACAAAGTGCTGATAGCTATAGATTTGAGATGCAAAAGAGTTACAAACTTAATACAACATGAGAAAAGTTTGTGTTGGTATTATTGGATTATTCAGCAGCCTCTTTAAATCTTCGCCAAACCTTCCTGTTTATTACAAACATTTTGAATCTGTGTGTACACTTCGCTATTCTACCTGATTATACGGTGTTGGAAGGCAAGTGATTGCTGTCAAATTAAGAGTGATTGTTTGGTCTTTGAAAGACTTTGACCTTGAGTCAGGGGGTGGAGTTAATTCCCTTAGGCCTGGAATTAGTTTGAAATGTGTTACTGAAACAGGAAGTATGCCTGCCTGTTACTGAACCCCAGTGAAGGCATGGAACAGTTGATTCATGATGTTGCTTTGTAAACAGTGGGCTGGAGGAGTTATAGGGTAGTTTGTACCAACTGTCCTCATTGTTTATTGATAACAATTAGATTGATGATTAATATCTGGTTTAGGTGAGACCCCTGAAGGGCCCTCCTGTTGAGTTTCATTACATAGCAGGAATGTGTCTATGTGACCAGCAAAATATTAAGACGCCAGCTAGGACTCCATCCCAGAAGTAGCCTGAAACACTACCTGTTGAGTGTAGATTACCCAGAGAGAGTATATAATGGGATACTAATTGCTTTAATATCTTATTCCTAAATCCTCCAGTTCTCACACAGGTTAATTATCGAAAACCCAAATGTTGGGAGTTGGGAAGAACTGGTGATAAACATCTCATCCTGCTTCTCTTCCAAAACATGTAAAATATGTTTCTTTGTCATTTCTTTAGACACCCTGGCTGTGGAACACAAGGCACTGCTGGTACAACTACCCCTACCAGGTGAGGAGCCATTACTGTCTGGGGTTTTACACACATGTAGTGTCTTCCTTAGGGGAGTTTTCTGATTACAGGCAGGTCCCTTGCTTTTTGGCCCCCTGCCCCAGCCTTGCTGCGTGGCGCTGCCAGTAGCCTAGTGAGGGAGGTAGTTTGTGTTCTCAGTGAAGTTCAGCGTCAGAGCTTAATTGCTTTAGCAGATGGAGTGAGTGTGGAAAGCTGCATTTGCTGGAGAGTGAGATACCATCCATTCCACAGGTGGGTGATTCAGTTTCTAACAGTTGAGCTGCCTCCAATTACTGAGGTCAGCCTGATAACAGCAGGGGCCCGTCTCGCTACCAGGTGGGCAAGCCACGTGCAGTGGAGCAGGCGTGCTGACTTCAGTGCAGCCGTGGCCTGGGGCCGCCTCGCTATGCAAATCAAACACCATTTTCTGGAGCACAGAAAAATGGGTTTGCACCGTTACACAGAGACAAAAAAGGCATCATTGAAAATGAGATTAAAATTGTAGTCCAGAAAGAGAGTATTTCAGATGCCTGCCCACTGGTATACCTTTGCCTCTGTCCATGAATTCAGTAATATTAGCATGTGTGCAGGCCCCCAGATCAGTTACTGTTTGAATATCAAAATTAGGACTTCTCTAGAAATTTCTTGTTGTAAAGTTTCTAGATCAAATGGGATAGGAACCAAATGCAACTAGGTAGTTTTTGGTGACACGATAAAGAGACATACGCATGATAAGCAAGTTGGATTTTGAGTGTGGGATTCTTTGGGGTTATCTTTTTAAAGGCTTATGGCCTTTTTGGTGGGCATAGGGTTCATGAGGAGCAGGCATGCCCTGTGCCTTCTCTAACCCCCACAGTGTCTAAATGGGATGCAAACTGGTGTTGGATATTCCTTAGGCAAGTTCAAGGTTAGGGCACAGCCATTGTGTCTCAGTAAATTGAGGGTCCACCAAGAGGACGCCGGTTCGATTCCCAATCAGGGTACATGGCTGGGTTGCAGGCTGGATCCCCAGTAGGGGGTGTGCAGGAGGCAGCCAGCCAATGATGCTTCTCTCTCTCTCTAAAAAAGTCACTAAAAACATTTTTTTTTTTTTAAAGTTCAAGATTAGGGACATGTTGAATTGCAGTGGGCATTTTCACCTCTTTCATGTAGTTTATTCGGATTAGAAAATAATGTAATTAAGCAGCATGACACGGTTCGAGAGAGCTGAGTATTCCGTGGTCATTTCAGAGAGACCAGAACGGCACTGGAACCCAGTCACTGTTGAATACAATTGTAATTCTGAGGCCCAACTGCAGTTTTACTACCTTAAATACTTGGGATATTGTCATTTACAGCTCTCTTTGTGTCCTGTCATGGTACAATGAGTGGAAAAGTCCATACATATTTAGAATTCTATTTATAAAAATGCATCAACGCCTCCCAGAAGTCTTAACTCGACTGTCGGTGCGGCAGCTGCTCCAGACACCGCGTTCATGAGGTCAGTTCCGTCATGTGAGCGGCTTTGAGACAAACGCCACGTGAAATGGAACACCCACTCTTCTTTGTAACTATAATGTGGTCTGAAATAACTCTCACATTAATGGCTGGAGCTGAGAAACTGCTTATTTCTGAGCAAATGAGTTGCTAGGGCAGGAGCTCAAAATGTAGCTGCCTGTTTCGTAGACAGAACTAGAGATTCCACCTGAAAATGTGAGGGCCTGTCGAGTGTATGCAGTTATTCTATAAAATAGGAAACCTCTTTAGTGTAGAAGGAAAGATACCAGATGTGGGGATTCAGATAAAAATCGTCTTCTACTAATAAGACATCATTGCTTATCAATGAATGATTTGGCATATAACTCCCCAAATCTAGGACCTGTTGTGACCTCTCATGGGAACAGTGGTCATTCTTTTTTTTTTTTTTTTTAAGAAATACTATTTCTTTTTTTTTTCTTTACTTATTTGAGAGAGAGAGGAAGGAAGAAAGAGATAGAATCATCAATGAGAGAGAACATTGACTGGCTGCCTCCTGCATAACCCCCACATGCCCCCCACTGGGGTTTGGGCCCACAACCTGGACATGTGCCCTGACTGGGAATCGAACCGGCGACCTCTTGGTGCATGGGTCAGTGCTCAACCACTGAGCCACACTGGCAGGGCAACAGTGGTCACTCTTGGTGCATCCCTTATACTAATGAAAGAAAATTAGCAGCTGTCTTTTTGTGTGTGTGGGAAAAATATTAAACAGCACATAATTATTATGCATGTAATTATAACACTTCGTGGGTAAGTATATCTACATAAATGTAAATGTACAAGTTGTAGTTCAGAGTCAGTCTCATACCTTAAGAGCACTTTTAAACATGGGTCACGCTTGTGAAACAGATTTATTATAAGTCTTTAGCACATAATAAATAATTGAGCAGATTTTTAGATGAAAGATTGATTAGTGGCATATTTCAGTTTTGTCAAAGACACACTGCTCATTATGCATGCGTATGTATATTATATTATTTATTTCATACGCAATGATTTTTAAACACACGTGTGTATTTTTGGTTTAAAATAATGCAGACTTGGCTTCCTCGTACAGCCTGTCATAAAGAGCATAAGCGGTGAATGAGAAGGCCTAGCCCCGCGATCACAGGGCCTCCCTCAATGTGAGACCTGGGATCAGCCTCCCAGCCTGAATTAACTGACAGTAATTTCCTGTAACTGTACAATCTAGACAATGATAGTACTAATTTTAGAGGACCTTTATGAGAGTCAAAGAGAATATCACACGCGTAAGCTTTGTTAACTGCCAAGGATTCCAACAACTATGGTAGTTATTCTAATACGACGCTGTCTTATGAACTCTGCAGTTTCTGAGGGCTCTCATTTGTCCCCACAGCCCACGGTGGCATTTGCCCAGGTGGTGATGCAATGAGAAAGTGAATCTCATTAAAACTGAAATTTATTCTTGGCTCCAAGGGTCCTAAAGACAGCGCTCTGTTTTCTAAACTTTATTGCTGCCATATGTCAGACCTGAGTACCATCTCTCATTGCGGATTTTAAAAGGACAGTTAAGTAGGAAATATATTCTCTTCAGTGTGGTACTGAGTGTGATAAACACATTGATGCCCAGAGCTTAGGATTGCTGGTGGCAGAGTATCCTGTCCTCTCTCGTGTTCTGTTGCTAACGGTCAGTGAGTGGGACAACTGTTTTCCTTGATGCCTAGTGTAAAACTGGCGGAGTCAGTAGTTAAGTGAGTACCAGCTTCTCGAGAAAGTCATTTGTTTTGCTGCTATTGGTTTACAGGGCATTGTATTTATTGCATATACTATTACCTTTTGTGTAGTGGTGTAGATATATTTGTGTGATGAGCTTCAAAGGTCTTTGATATTCTGGTGAAGTAAGACATTTCATTACAATTCAATAAACAAAAACAACTTGCTGAAATGGTTTCTTAAAAACACTGTTTTGTTTTTATGGCTTTGTGTGCAGAATAAATATTCCTGACTTGTGCTGCCGCTCTGAACTTCTCCCCATTCCTGGACCTGGGAGGCAGATAGAACAAGTGTGACCTCCATTTTACAGTACATTAATGGAAGCCCACGTTTTCTACCCTCCTAAGCTGTGGAGGGGGGACTTGGTCTCAGGTTTCCTGGCTGGGTGCCTAGCCCAGTGTCTCTTGGCAGCTTCCTTGTCCGTCTGATCTTTTAAGAAATGTTTTTGAATTGTCTTTTTATTTTTGTTTTTTGTATTTGCAATATACTGAAAGAAAGATCAGATTAATACAGAACTTGAAACTATGCCTCGGTGACATATATTGTACTCCAGTGTCTGTCACCCACCTCCCTTGTCCCTGTGCCATGGAATCTCACAGCAGTTACCCAGAGTTATTCTTTTTGTATATGCATTAGAATGTTTTACCAGGTTGCCTCAGGAATCTCACAAATACTCACTCGTGTCAAAGAACCATAAATGCTGTTGTTAAAGTGAATAGTGAATTGGGTACTGAATGTTCATACTGACTGACACTTTCTGGTTGGAGATTAAACTGATGCCAGCAGGCTGCTGATTAGAGGCATCCTTCAATCCCCCTTATCCACCAAGAGAATGAGGCTAGAATTTGTGGGGGCAGAAGACCATGTAACTTTTCCACAATGAGCTCGAGATGTTTGGGACACAAGTGGGGTTTCCTGTTAACTATTAATCTTTCCTTTTTTTTTTCTTCTTTGATCCTCAGCCACTCACAACTGACCTTCACTACTATTATATCCTGGAACTGTCGTTTTATTGGTCTTTAATGTTTTCCCAGTTCACTGATATCAAAAGAAAGGTAAGTGGGGTTCTGTTGTAAAGTGTTGCAGACCTGTCTTTAATGGCCCTTGGCAGGTGGGTGTAGAATCTCACAGGTGCTCACCTCTGTTTTCCCAGCAGTGCTAGGTGAGGACTGCTTTCTACTTTGATACATAAAATTCTCCATTTTTATTTGCACTGTTTTCTATTTTGTTCCCCTTGACTCTTAACTCTTCCCTAGTCTTCTTTTCTCTCTGAAAATATGTAGCAATGAGTCCCGACAGCAGTAATTTCTCTCCGTCTGATTCACAAGTCCCTCTGTTCTCCAAATTAAATAAAGAAGAAAAATTGTATTTGTTGTTCCTGGGAGAGAGTAAAAGCTCAGTGTTCTAGCCCTCCAGAATAAATTTTTCTCCAATGGAAGGGCTATGTAGCATGAAAACACAGCATTCCTAAGTGAGCTGTGACCTGGGTTTCAGCCCTCCCTTCCACTGGCTTTCGCAGAGGGTACTCTGGACCTCCTCAGTGTTAAACCCACTCGGTCTAGTTTCATCTTACCAGCCTCTGGACGCTTGTGGCACTTTGGACTATCCGCTGCTTATTTGTTTTTCACGATGCCATGTTCTCCAGACTTTTATATTTGGGTCTTTCCTTCAAAGCTGTGTTTGCTGGCCTGCATCTCAGCCCCCACGCCCCCCCCAACCCCTGTGCTCTGCATACCTGTATGCTCCAGGGGACACACCTTTCATTGTCCCACAGCTGGCTGAAGGCTGGCTTTCTGATCTGTGTGGCTCTGCAGCCTAAAAGTGGTGCAAGGTGTCTGAGTCTCAGAGGTAGGCGGCCCCTGGCAGGGCCGGGGCTTAGGCCCAGCGGATAACTCACCCACACCTATAATTTGTGGTTCCTGTACTCCTCGCACCCACCGCTCTGGATCAGTTTCTGGGAACGCTCAAAGATCCTCCATAACCACGTGCCAGTGGGATCTCTGTCTTCATTCCTGTAGTCAGTACTTTAGTCTGTTTGTCTCCTACCGGCCAGGCTCATTGTGTATTCTACTCATTTATTTTTTAAATCTTTAGTTGTGGAAAATATACAAAACGTAAAATTTACCCTTTTAACCATTTTAAGTGCGCGGTTCAGCTACACTGTGGTGCAGCCGGCTTCCAGAAGTCTTTTCAGCCTGCAGAACTGAAACTCTATATCCATTCAGCAACCATTTCCCTTTCTCCCCTCCCCCCAGCCCCTGGCACTCATCATTTTACCTTCTGTTGCTGTGACTGTGACTCCTCTAGGTACCTCATAAAAGTGGAATCAGCCCATATTTGTCCCTTTGTGGCTGGCTTATTCACGGAGCGTAATGTCCTCCGGTTCATCCCCGTTGTAGCATGCATTAAAATTACATTCCTTTTTAAGACTGAATGCTATGCATTTTATTTTATTTTAAGGAACATTTTTTTTTGCAGGGAGTCACACAAAATGTGTGTTTAACAAAGAAGGAGGTTTGAATATTCTTCCTATTTTGTAGTTGAGAAAATTTATGTACAGTAAGTTTATGTACGTCTTTCAAGGTTGTGCAGGTGGGAACGGATTACAGCCCAAGCTGACCGAGCAGAGTCCTGTGATTCACTCTCAGATTAGACGGGTACACAGTTCTTGCCTTGTCTTGCCCTGTTCCTGACATGAGGGGTAGGAAGCCTTTTGCAGCCATTGCCATTTGTATTGGTTCCTCCTTTGCTTAGTGAGAATTAGGGATGCCAGCTAGAGTCAGAGAGACTGCAAGGCTGACTGTCAGGCTCGCGGGAGCCTAGCCTAGTGCAACACGGCTGCACCAGAGTCCGAGGCCCCCGCACGCGGGTGAGCTTTCTCATCACGCGTTTACCGTGTCTTTTCAGTGAGCCAGGAGGACCGACAGAGTCTTCATCGTTTCAGGCCAGGTGACCGTTATCTTAATAGTTATAATTTCTAAGTGGGTTATATTGTTTTGTATGGTTTTAACATATTTTCTGTCAGCGTAGAAAACGCCTACAAAAAGGGCGATTTCGCAGTGAGGTTCATGGAATTGATCTCAGGCCTGTACTTATTGTCAAATTTTACAAATTAATTATAGATTTTTGTCTCCGTTAACACCGGTGGCTTATTTTAGGCGCCTGGCACCTCTCCCTTCTTCAGTTAGTCAAAGCACCTTTGTATGTTCCTAGAGCAGCTGGCTAATTCTTATTTCATGTGCAAAATGGGAATATGGCCACTGCCAGGCTGAGCATTTCTCAGCGCAGGTTTTAATAAGGGAGGCCTGTGCCTCTGTTCACATCTCTCATTAGTGAGCTGCAGCTTTGCTGTTCCCCTTTGCACCTCGCTTCACGGCAGTCCTCGGTGGTTTCCTCCGCGTTGCTCTACCACGGGGAGCATGTGCCGTGCTGGCCATCAGCAAGGCTGTATGGAATGTTCTGGCTGCAAAATATACTCCCCACCTTCTAGATTGCACCTATTAACCAAACTCTCTAAAGAAGAGCCTGCTTCCTAATTAGGGAATAGAAATACTTGAAGACACTCATTGAGAACAGAGTATGGAAATCAACTTCTGAAGACTCTTTGTAGTGTTGTTAGTAGGAAGAGTTATGAAAACGTTTCCTATGCTTCGCAATTAAACAACAATGTGCTTGAACAGCCGTTTTATTTCTTTCTTTGTTTAATATGTTTTTATTAGTTTTAGTGAGCTAGGAAGGGAGAGGGAGAAATAAAACATGGATGGGCTGCCTCCTGCACGCCCCCTACTGGGGATCGAGCCTGAAACCCGGGCACATGCCCTGACCTGGAATGAAACCAGGACCTCTTGGTGCACAGGATGACGTTCAACCAATTGAACCACACCAGCCAGGTGAACAGCTATTTTCAAATAGAGACCAGGGTTGGCCCTGGCCGGTTTGGCTCAGCGGTTAGAGCGTCGGCCTGCGGTCCGGAGAGACCCGGGTTCGGTTCCGCTAAGGGCACGTACTTCGGTTGCAGTTTGTCCCCGGCCCTGGTTGGTCGTGCGGGTGGCAGCCACTCGATGTGTCCCTTCACGTCGATGTTTCTCACTCTCTCTCCCTTCCTCTCTCTCCCTCCCACTCTAAAAAAAAAAAACAAAAAAAAAACAAATAGAGACCAGGGTTTATGAACAGTGGATCCAAATGCATACCTCAAACTGTTAGAATCAGTACCCTAAATGAGATTTAGAAATCATTTTTTTGACAGTGGGTTCATGAGTCTTTCTAAAATGGTTTTTATAATCACAAATTCTTCCCCTGTAGAAGTGTCCTAATATTGCCATATTTTTAAAAGATTTTTTTATTGCTCTGTCTTGAAATAGAATCTGAAGTTTGAAAATGAAAGGAGAGCCTTTCACTCCTGTAGTGACAGAGCGCATTGCCTCTCTCTTGATCATGTCCAGGGTTGGTACTCACTCGGTCAGGGATGAGATATACTGTTAATCTTCTCTGGAAGGGACTAGGCAAGATGTAGACATCTGGATTTACAATTCAAATATTTTATTATGTGCTACCAAGATACGTAAATCTTTTTCAGGATTTTTCCTTCCTTCCTTTTTTCTTCTTGCTTCCCTTCATTCCTCTCTCATTCCTTCTTTCTTGCTTCCTTTCTTCCTTCTTTTTCTTGTAAAGAGAATTTATTACTGTATCTTATTAAAACAACAGGTATATTCTTGGTATGAAACATTGCTTGAAGCATTTCTTATTTCCCAAGGCTTCGTTTTTGTTAAAATTCTGCTTCTAGCACCTGTTCGCAATGAGCATTTTTCCTGCACATCTACATTTTCTAAGAGAAACTAATAAATACGACTGTGTTGGAGCTCAGAGCAGCTTGCTTGTGTCTAAGCCCTATGTCCCTTTCAACTAAGCGGCTGTTGGACTCGGAGGCCTGGGCCCTCGGCCAGTAAGCCGGGCTCGTGTTTGGAGTCCTCCATAGGAAATCATCCATGGCCGAGTTCCAAAGCCCAGCTGGTAAAATCAGCTTGTTGCTCTGCTGGTCTTTAACCTGAGAGAAAAACTGCATCTTGTAAAAGATTCCTGACAGAGAGCGGTATGGGGATTAATTTTATCCAGAAACTCACTGATGGACTTGAGTTTGCTCTCTGGTAACTTTTGCAAAGAATAATTGACATCCATTGCTGCTGGGTGCTTAACCACCTTTTTAGGGGCCTGTTGTACTCCAGATGTTTCCTGCTTCAGTTGGATTCAAGGTAAAAGACAATGCGTGCTTTAGTCTCTGTATGAGGAGGCAAGCAGTATAACATAGAATTAAATGAAATACTGTCCATGAAACCATCTAGTTACAATGCTTGACAAATAGAGCTCAGAGCAGTACCTCTGTTGGGCATGTAATGACCAAAACTTGGTTGAATCAAAACAAATGCTAAAACAAAACAAAACAAAAAACCTCCAAACTGTAGTGGTCACCGATTTTAATATTTTTGGTCGATTAAAATGAACAAAAATAATTGGGAAGAGGAACTAACTTAAGGTTGGCAACCTTTTTTCCTAGTACCTCTTCCACTTATAACCATCACTTCTTAAAGAAAAGGACATTTTCACATTTTCAAGGAGAAAGAACACCTTGTAATAAAGGACAATCCTTTAAATGTATCATTATATGAAAAAGTTCTTTTTCTCTCTTTTTTCTAGAGTTGGCAAAAGTATGGGCAATGTGGCTTTGAGGTTAAAGGCATGGGCTCTGGTGCTGGACATGGCCAACTGTCCAGCCCCACTCCTAATCTGGTGTGACCTGGGGCATGTCGCTTGACCTCTTTGTGCCATGGATATTCTGATCCAGAGAATGGAGTTCATGTCACCTACCTCAGCGGAGCGTTGCCAGCACAAAGTGATGCGTGCCGTTGGAACAGCGCGGCTCACAGTGCTCAGTACATGTTAGCCATCACTGGAGTCTTCAGTGCGGCTCACCAGATGCTGCCAGCCTCTGCCCATAGGCACATGGGGATTGTACGTCTCAGCCACGTCCTCTCTTGTGCTTGGGTGAGGCCATGTGACT